AGCGCGTATTGTAGGAAGTTGGCATTTTGAAGGTTTTAGAAATTTCTAAGTTTGACTTGAAGTAGACTTTGGTGTTGTTGATGTTTGTTTGGGAGTCCGAGCCTTGTATTAGGTTCGTATTGAGATTTTTGTCTTACATGTAAAGTTTAGCATCATTCCGGGATGTTTAAGTGTACTTTGGACGTGTTCGGTGAAGTTTGAAAGTGTGAAAGTTGAAAGAAAGGTTTTGACCGTCGATTCGTAGTTTTGATGTCGCTTGACGTGATTTGAGGCTTCGACTAAGTTCATATCATGTTTTAGGATGCGTTGGAATGGTTGGATGGAGGTCCTGGGGTCCTTGGGTGCAAATCCGATTAGAATCGGATCGAGTTTTGGACTTAAAGAATTTCTTAAGCTTAAGGCTTCTGGTTGATCGCATCTGCAAGGTTTTGGCCGCAGGTGTGAGACCGTAATAGCGGCCCAGGGGTCGCAGAAGCGGTTAGGATTGAGGCTGGCTGGAATTGCTGGTGCGAGGAATTTACCGCACCTGCGAGCTCGTAGATGCGAGGAGTGGATTGCAGAAGAAAATGGTGAAGAGGCATGGTCTTCCGGAGATGCGGAGGCTCAAGCGCAGGTGCTCCTTCCGCATGTGCGAGGTGTTTTCCACAGAAGCGGAAAAGGGGCTTGTAATGAAGATGCGCATAAGCGGATTTGTGTCCGTAGAAGCGAAAGTGCTTGAGGCGGAGGGTGTTCGCAGATGCAATCCTAAGACCGCACCTGCAGGATCGCAAATGCGATCAAGTTACCGCAGGCGCAATGATTGTTGGGCAGACCCTATTTATTCGAGGGTTGAGTATTTCATTCATATTTTTGAGCTATGGAGTTCAGATTTGGGGTGACTTTGGAGTGCCATTTTCATCATCTAACTGGAGGTAAGTGATTCCCACTTATCGCAAGTAAACACATGGTTTATATATTGATTTAAACATGAAAAGTTATGAAAATTGTGGTATTTTGGTAGAAAATTTAGAATTTGGTATTTTTGAAATTTTACCACGAAACTGGATATGGAATTAGGGACAAATTATATACTTGAGTTTGTGGTTATGGGTAATGATTATCTTCAGGAATTTTTGAAATTCGAGCACGCGGGCCCGAGGGTTGACTTATTGTCTTTTCGAGAATTGTTGTAAATTTATTAATTATAAGCATTGGAGTATATTTTTTTGGTTTGCATGATTGTTGGACTAGTTTTGGATCGATGAGCATTGATTTGAGGTGTTGAAGTCGGTTATGGAACTTCGGTGCGAGGTAAGTTTCCTGTCTAACTTTTTGAGAGGGAAACCACTCTGTAGGTATTTATTGTTATGTGCTACTAGTTGTGGGGGATACTTACGCATGAGATGATGAGATTCCGTACGTAGCTAGATTCATGTTATATCCGGGTAGACGTAGGCCTTCATTATGCCATTATTTGCACTGTTTGAACTTAATTTGCTAGTTTAAATTGCCTGAATTAATAAATAAGAATTTGGTTAAAGATTATGTTAAAACGAGCCTCATTGATTTGGCGGGCTGCTAGTCATTGATGGGAATTTATATTCTTTTATAGGCTTACCTTGAAATGGTAAATACGTAATTTGTAAATCCGAAGAGTTTCCCTATTCCTGTGGATCGGGCCGAACATCACGGATATATATATATATANATATATATATATATATATATATATATGAATCAGGCCGAACGACCACAACATAAGTTGTCCGTAAAAATCGTTAAGAGTATACCCACGAGATTACCCTCTTGATAGAATTTGGAAATTTCATGATATTCTTCTATGACTTGAGAGCGGATATTAAATTGACAGTCCTTATAGTGATGAGATAGCATGTGGCGCCTAAGGATTTTAAACTGATGACATTTTGCTAACGAATTTTGTTACCTATTGTTCCTTGCCCTATTGATCTTGTTGTATTTCATGCATGCCTACAATTCCTGTACCCTATTTATTTGACCATTAGTAAGTGTCGATGTCTGATGAGCATACATTACGAAATTGACGCTCGCAAATCGAAGATAGTATAGTATAATATCGTCTCCACAGGGATTGGATTTAAATAATGCTCTAGTAATTCCTAGTTTAACTGTTATTCAGGATGATCAAAACTTAATTTGAAATGATTACGAACTAGGATTAACTACTAAGTAAAGCAATGGACAATTGACTGCAGCAAACTAGAGATTAACAAAGTCGATTTCTTTTCAATGTGAGAAATTAGGGTTTTGACATGATAGGTGCAAGGTTGTTAGTCTGGATATGATACAGTTATATTTCACTCGTGAGGTTCTATCGATTCTCACGAATTCAACAGGTGACTAGCTTATGCTTCCAATTAAGACTCCTCTCTCGACTAAGTCTAAATCTTTTAAATAAACTAATGTGAAGCACAGTGAAACTTGCAAGAATCTATAGGTAGGAATGATCTAAGAGAAACTTCTAACGAATATTTCTCAATCTTAATTTAAACAGTAACTCAAAAAGCTCTCTCGATTATTTCAAAGAATCACCAAAATAAACTAAGTCATATGTTGCAATGATATTCAATAAGATATTCCTCTTTTCATTAAACACTATAAAGAATAAAAATCACAACTATATTAAAGCTCCTCCAACAAATTCAAGCAATTAAATACTAATCAAATTCATAAACAACAACCAAATCACCAAATCATGTCAAATCCTAAGGTGAACTACCTGATTGATATGGAGAAAGTCATCACAAATAAGTTTAAGAGCATAGAAATATTAATCCAACGTTACAATCCAAACTCGCGTATTGAATTGTATAGAAGGATGATGAAATCCTGTGTCTTGAAGCTTCTAATGCTCTGCAATAGTTCCCAAGGTCAAAAGTCCGTTCAAAAACGTCTTTTTGATGTATTTATACCCTGTAGGAGTGGTCCCAGGAAAAATTATCTTTTTCTAGCCGAAATAGGACAAATACTCTGAGAAAATTGCACAGGAGCATCGCGCCATGCGCCGCCCCATGCGAGGTGCTAGTGGGGAAGTTCAGAGAGCAGGTTTTGACGGGCAGCAGCAAAATACACTGCCGCGCCGCCCCATGCGCCGTTCCATACGGCGTGGCAGTGAAGGTTTTCTAGAGTAACTCGTTTTCTTCGTGTTTTGACATCCAGACTTGGCTTTCGACGCCAAACGCTATCCCGATCTAATCCCTTGGGCTTTTACTCAGACTTCAAAGCTCCAACTTGTTCAATTTAGCTCCCGAAGATCTTTTTAACTCGAAATCATTTCCTGCAAGGCATAAAACACATAATAAGTGCAATACACTATCATTTAAGCTCAAACACAAGTAAAATGCAGTAATTAGAGTGCAAAGTAGGACTAAAACACGTGATTCTACCCTACCATCAATACCCCACACTTGAACTATTGCTTGTCCTCGAGCAATCAAACCGTACTTCACATAGAGACGACCTTCTTATCAGACAACTTCTCTAACTCATCATGCCAAGCCTATTTAAAAAAGACTAAGCACCATGTCATAACATCCTAGCCTCAAGTCTCGACTCAAAAGTACTACGCATTTTTCACAACTTGCTCACTTACTCTAACACAGAGGTCAAAGACTTTACCTCACCTTCGCAAATCATGTGGCCTCACACAAACAACAAAGAGTAGTTCCACACACAATAAAATTCAAGAACAGTTAGGAACTCAAGATAGAAAGAATTAACTCACTCTCAGAAATAAAATTCATGTGCCGCAGAAGATGTGTCATAGGCTTGCCCGTAATGTAATACTATACTAATTGAGCTCATTCAGTCATGGATCAAGTAGGACTTAATTTGGTTGTAATGTAGGCTGCGGGACCGGTAGGATACATATGGATATAGTGACTACACCTCCCTGGACACTTTAATACATACACATTAATAATTTACACCCCACACTTGTGTTGAACCGAACCCCACCCATCATACATAGTAGCATCAGGCTCACAAACAATATGAGGACTACCACTAGCATGGAATATTTTTTTTCTTTTCTAAGTTCTGATTTTTTTCTTCCTTTTTACTCAAATTCTTTTTTATTTTTCAATTCTCTACAAGTGGCTCTCACAATTTTTCAAAAAGTGCACCTTTCTCCTTTTTCTATAGTTCCACTCAAAAACACGACCATACCTCACTTAGCTTTTACAAGCTCATCCCAAAATTAAGCCTCAAGAGAGGGAGACGTTTCAAACAGATAGTCCACTCAAACAAAGGGTCAAGCTTGTAGTCTGGTTACCAATGAAATAGGAATGCAGGCTCAAATGGGCTAACTAAGATACATCACATTAGGTGGGTAAACACATACAACTGGCTCACTAAAGAAATCCCTATATCACTTCCTAGTTTGAACAAGACTACTATTCCGCTTTGCAAATACACGGGTCAATTTCTAGACATCAACTGACATGTACAGAATATCACAAAACCTCACACACACAATGGCACATAACTCACTCAGTATCGGATCTATCCCAACTCTTTAGTCAAAACAGTTAAGGAAAGTTACAATCACAAAATTAAGGTACTTGTTTAAGAGTCGAGAACTGAGCCTAGGCGTCACAACTAAGGCACTCAGTGTTCTCAGTGCACAACAAAGTCAAGGAAAGTCATCTCCATTTAATATCATAGCACAAGACTTCACTACTCCTATTAAAAGAAAAACTAACTACACCCAGTTCAACAAAACCCCTTGGGAAAGAACTGCGGCACAAAGAAAAACAAAGGAAAAATTATTATACTACCTAAGGAAAACAAAAAAAATCTTCGACTTTACTCCCTCAAAAAGACAGCCGGGAAAAGTCAAAAAAAAAATTAAATCTAAGAAACAATACTATTACAGAAACACATATACATATATACATTCCCCACCCCACACTTTAAATTATAGCATGTCCCTATGACACATAAATAAAAAGCAAGAGGTAAAGGAAACTTCCATGATTTATCTAGTCGGGGTCTGTATTGAAGTCGTGATCACCTTTGCACGCCCGACCCAGTGCGCACATCCGTGCTGAGAGCTTCCTTTCCGCATTCTTTCGGTACAATCCACACTTATCGGTTTTACTCTCTCTAAGTTTCTCCTTTAGGGCCCCCCTTTCTCCTTCCATCTTGAAAATCAGCCTTTCCTGAATACCCAGAATTGCTCTGCCCGTGGCCAAAAATGATCTTCCTAAAATCAGAGGGACCTCCCTATTCTCCTCCATGTTCACCACAATGAAGTCCACAGGGAACACAAATTTGTCCACCCAAACTAGCACATCTTCCACTATTCTTTCTAGTATAATTGTGGTCTGATCCGCCAGTTGCAAGGACACAGGTATCGACCTGATTTCTCCAATCTCTACCTCTAATTTTATGAAAATAGACAAAGGCATAAGATTAATAGAAGCACCAGAATCGCACAAAGATTTTTGTTGAAATTTAGTAGTTCCTAAATAGCAAGGTATAGTAAAACTCCCTAGTTCTCCATACTTTTGAGGGAGCTTATTTTGCAAAATGGCACTACAATGCTCTGTTAGCTTGACAGCCGTTGTCTCTTCCACTTTCCGCTTCTTAAACAGTATCTCCTTCATGAATTTAGCATAATCTGGCATATGTGAAAGTACCTCTAGGAAAGGTATATTCCCTTTCACCTGCTTGAGTACTTCTAAAAAGCACCCGAATTGTTTGTCCAGCTTCTCTCTTCTCTGCTTTTGTGGAAAAAGTAGAGTAGGCATGTATTTGCTCTTTTCAGTCTCATTATTTGTTTCATAATTATCTTTCTTCTTTTTTCTGAGCTATAGTCTTCCCATCCTTTTTCGGACCATCATTTACGATCACTTCACCTTCTTACATGTTATCATTTTTCTGCCCTTCCACAATCTCCATCTGTCTTTCAATTGGCTTATCCTTTTGCTTTTCTATGGGATCTTCCAATTTGTGCCCACTCCTCAAAGACACTGCATTTATTGTATCTTTTGGATTTTTTTCAGTATCAGCAGGGAGCGTTCCTGGAACTCTCTCAGACAATAGAGTAGCTAATTGCACAACCTGTCTTTCCAGGTTTCGAAAAGTCATGCTCAGTTCTTTGATAGCTTCACCATGTTCGTACAGCTGAGCTATGGGTTTCAAGCCTCTTATTTGTATTAAAAATAAAGGCCTTCATTAGATCTTCCATGCTAGATTGATTAGACTGTGGAGGTTGATATTGCTGCCTCTACTAATTTTGAAAGCCCGGAGCTCCTTGTCCCTAAGGTCTAGAGTTATTTTGCTGCCATGAGTTTAGGCAACCACTTGGTGAACTCCAAGAAAATCCTGGGTGCCTCTATCCCACAGAGTTAAAATTATTACCACTCTAGTAGTTGCCTCTGTCAAAGCTTCCCACAACATCTACTACTTCATTTGTAGCTAAGTCCTGACACTCATGCATTGGATGACCTATTCCACATAAATTACAAACTGGTGATGGTTGGCTCTGGACCATGGCTAAGGTTAACTTTCTTATCTCTTTGGTCGTGGCGTCTAGTTAGGCATGTACTGCTGTGTTAGAATTTACTTGTCGAACCCCAACTAATTTTCTTCTATCATTATTCTCAGCAGGCCACTGGTTAGCATCTTCAGAAAGCTTATCAAGAATTGTCAAAATCTCCTCAGGAGTCTTCTTCATTAAAGGACCTCTGACTGCAGTGTTCAGAGTTCGTCGTGCGGGAAGTATCAGTCCATCCCAAAAGTCCTGGAGTTGTATCCACAATTCAATCCCATTATGCTAAAACTTCCTCACTATCTCTTTGAATCTTTCCCAAGCCTCGAAAACTGATTCAGTGTCCGTTTGGCAGAAGTTTTGAATTTCCCTTCTAAATTTAATTGTTTTTGTATCTGAGAAGTATTTGTCAAGAAATCTTTTAGTCATGTCATCCCATGTCCTGATTGACCTCGTTGGTAAACTAAGAAGCCAGTGCTTTGCGTCATACTTCAGTGAAAAGGGGAATGCCCTTAGGTAGACTGCATCTTTCGACACTCCGTTGTACTAGAAGGTGTTCATAATTTCCTCAAAATCCATCAAGTGCATGTTAGGATCTTCAGTAACCTTCCCTCTGAAGACACGGTTGTTCTGGATAGTTTGAAGTAAACCTTGCTTCAATTCGAAATCGTTCGCTGCTACTGGTGGAGGTCTGACACTGGACAAACCCTGATTGTAGACTGGTCTGGAATAATCACCCAATGCTCTCCCAGACCTGGGTGCAGCATTCTTGAATTAGTCTTCAGTCAAGGGTCGATTTAGATTGAATCTTTGACCCCTATCATCTTCGACGGCTAAATTTACCTCATCTTCACCGTTATTAGCCATGTGTTCTTGGATTTAATGTTGCCCCAGGAACTTTACAGTGAATTCTTTCTCTTTCCTCAACTGTCGCAGACTCTTTTCTACCTCTGGATTGTATGGAACCAATTCCTTCGAAGAAGATCGAGTCATACACTAGAGACGTCACTCTGTTGCCTACCTACAGAAGAGGAAACCCGTGAAGAATAAAAAGAAAAAGAAAATAAAACAAAAAACATTCCTTAATTAGCACCAAAAACTAATTTGAACACTATTGATTGCCAATCCCCGACAATAGCGCCAAAATTTGATGAGCACAAATCACAACACGAAATCGATGCTCGCTAATCAAAGATAGTATAGTATAATATCGTCTCCACATGGATTTGATTTAAACTATGCTCTAGTAATTCCTGCTTTAAATGTTATTCAGGATGATCAAAACTTGATTTGAAATGATTACGAACTACAATTAACTACTAAGTAAAGCAATTGATAATTGACTGCAGCAAGCTAGAGATTAACAAAGTCGGTTTCTTATCAATATGAGAAATAAGGGTTTTGACATTATATGTGCAAGTTTATTAGCCAATGATACTGTTATATTTCACTCTTGAGGTTCTATCGATTCTCACAAATTCAATAGGTGATTAGCTTATGCTTCCGATTCAGTACTCTCTCCATTAAGTCTAAATACTTAAAATAAACTAATGCGAAGTACGGTGAAACTTGCAAGAATCTATTGGTAGGAATGATCTACGAGAAACTTCTCACGAATATTTCTCAATCTTAATTTAAATGGTAACTCAAAAAGCTCTCTCGATTACTTCAAAGAATCACTAAAATAAACTAAGGCATATGCTGCAATGATATTCAATAAGATGTTCCTCTTTCAATTAGACACTATAAATGTCACGACCCTAATTTTATTACAGGACGTGATGGCGCCCAACACCATTATTAGGCAAGCCAACGCTAATAAGCTAGTGAGTTCTCATTTATTTTAATAAACAATCTCAACATTTACTTAACTTAGATTTAAAACAGTCGATAAGTAACAAGTATGGAGTAAAATGTGTCAAAAATGACAAAACTCCCGTATTAAATGAAGGCCACTGCCTTCAGCGATTTCCTCATCTGCGGTGAGGGGACCACATCTGCGGTCTTGCTTCTGTGGGCAAGTGTCCGCTTCTGCGGAAATGGGCCGGGCCAACTGAGGCCGCTTCTGCGGAGGATGGGCCGCATCTGCGGTTTCTGGGCTGCCCACCCTTTGCCGCATCTGCGAGTCGTTTCCCGCACCTGCGGGCTCGCATCTGCGGCTGGCCGACCATAGGTGCAGTTATGACAGCAGCTGGAGCTTCAGCTTCTCCTCCAATTTCCAACCTAGCTCGAGCCTCGTCCGATTGACGCTCGAGGCCCCGGGTCCCCCCTCGAACATACCGACATGTTTGAAATGATAAAACGGACTCGCTCGAACCCTCAAAATGCTAGAAACAACATTAAAGTCTTAAATTTTGCGTGCAAGTCTTAAATGACGTTACGGAACTATTCTCAGTCTCGAAATTCCGTTCGGACTTCGATAATACAAAAACCCGCTCCAAACCAAATTTAAAGAACTTCAAAATCCTTAATGAATCAACTTTCACTATTAGGCGCCAAAACGCTCCCGGGTCATCCAAAACCCGATCCGGACATACGCTCAAGTCCGAAATCATCATACAAACCTATTGGAACTGTCAAATCCCGATTCCGAGGTTGTTTACTCAAAATGTTGACCGAAGTCAAACTTGGCCTTTTAAGCCAATCTTAAGGAACCAAGTGTTCCGATTTCAACCCAAACTCTTCTAAATCCTGAACCATACATCCGCGCAAGTCATACATCAGTTAAAGCAAGTACTGTAAGTCTTATTTAGGGGAACGAGGTTCTAGAAAGCTAAATGACCAGTCGGGTCGTTACATTCTCCACCTCTTATGCAAACTTTCGTCCTCGAACGGGTTTAGATTCATACCTAAAGTGCTAAACAAGTGTTGATATCTGCTCCGCATGTCGTCCTCGGACTCCCATGTCGCCTCCTTGACTGGTTTGCCCCTCCACTGGACCTTTACTGCAGAAATCCTCTTGGATCTCAATTGACGATCCTGTTTATCAACAATGGCAACTGGCTCCTACTCATAACCCAAACTCTCATCTAACTGAATAGTATTGAAGTCTAACACATAAGACAAGTCGGCATGATACCTCCGAAGCATAGACACGTGAAAAACTGGATGAACCCCTGATAGGTTGGGAGGTAAAGCCAGCTTATAACCAACCTCCCCAACTCGCCTCAACACCTCAAATGGGCCTATAAACCTTGGGCTCAACTTGCCCTTCTTCCCGAATCTCATAATACCCTTCATCGGCGAGTCTTTCAAGATAACCTTCTCGCCGACCATGAATGATACATCAGGCGCCTTCTGATCCGCGTAACTCTTCTATCTGGACTGTGTTGTGCGAAGTCTCTCCTGAATCATCTTTACTTTTTCCAAGGTATCTTTCTCTAAATCTGTACCATATAACTTAGCCTCACCAGGCTCAAACCACCCGATAGGAGATCGACATTGCCGACCATATAAGGCCTCAAATGGAGCCATCTCGATGCTGGACCGATAACTGTTGTTGTAAGCAAACTCGGCCAAAGGCAAGAACTGATCCCACTGCCCTCTAAAGTCAATCACACATGCTATCAGCATGTCCTTTAATATCTGAACTGTCCGCTCCGACTGTCCGTCTGTCTGAGGATGGAATGCTGTGCTGAGCTCCACACGGGTCCCCAACTCACTCTGAACAACTCTCCAAAAATGCGAAGTGAACTGAGGGCCCCTATCTGATATGATGGAAACAGGCACACCGTGCAACCGGACTATCTCCCGGATATAAATTAGGGCAAACCTCTTTGAAGAATAAGTAGTCACAACTGGAATGAAGTGCGCCGACTTAGTCAACCTGTCGATAACGACCCAAACTGCATCAAACTTCCGCAAGGTCCGCGACAACCCCACTACAAAGTCCATAGTAATGTGCTCCCATTTCCGCTCAGGTATAGGCATCTACTGAAGTAGGCCACTGGCCTCTGGTGCTCATACTTAACCTGCTGGCAATTCAAGCACCTAGCCACATATTCAACTATGTCTTTCTTCATCCGCCGCCACCAATAATGCTGCCTCAGGTCACGATACATCTTCGTAGTACCTCGATGAATAGAATACCGTGAACTGTATGCCTCCTCTAGAATACTCTCCCACAAGCCATTGACATTAGGAACACATAGGCGACCCTGGAGTCATAGAACACTATCCTCTCCAATAGAAACCTCCTTGGCACCACCCAGTAGTATCGTCTCTCAGAGGACTGCTAAATGCGTTTCATCAAACTAC